AAAAAGATAACGACAACGGCAGGACTCGAACCTGCGCGGGCAGAGCCCAAAAGATTTCTAATCTTTCGCCTTAACCGCTCGGCCACGTTGCCTCGATATATGAAATGTGTCAGGGTTCCAGCGCCTGTTGGTATTCCGGTCGGGGGGTTGTAATCAGTCATTGATTCACAAGTTACTTATCGTGATCTTCCACAAAAATAAAGATAATCTTAAAACCAAGATCATTCTTAGATCTGGAAAACTACTTCCTTATATAGCTTTCTTCGGTGCCTCATTTGCTTTATGCGACAGGATTAGTTTCAGATACTCATTATCAAACAATCCTAGTAGCCTCAACTGGAACCTCATAAGGTTCCTGAAACAACTCTCTAACTCTGACAATTTTATTAGTCAGCCTGGCTAGCTCAATCGGTAGAGCGTGTGACTCTTAGCAGTACGCGATCACAAGGTTGCGGGTTCGACCCCCGCGTCGGGTTCTATTTTTGCTTTATCAGCTTACTATTTTTGCGGATATCTGTTGATTTTTAGCGATCTGCTGTTGGATAGCGTGGCGTCCATGGCAATACATAATCAATGTTGATTAATTATAACGGTTTACTTGTCCTTTGGTAAGATAACAAAGTCTTGAATATGTAAATTAAGTACGCATATTTGTCAATTGTAATATAAAGGGTAAGAGTAAGAGCCTTGTATGTCTTTTTATACAGTTGGTTCTTCTAGTAAAGTTGTTTTTGGTTATACTAAAATCTCTTAGTCATTGCTTGGCGTTGTTTTGGTGCGTTGTATGGCATTCTTCAAACAGACATGAAACAATCATGTGATACCTGTGTGCTAGTACAGATTTCAACAACCTGGAGGGTCTGGGAGGAAGACGCTACTCTGCTTTTAGTCCTTAGCGAAATTTTCAGTTTTATATGTAGCAATCAGATTCTTCTGTTGACGTAATAAAGTTTAGCACTACAACTAATGACACGTAGTTCTGTGTTGTGCAGGTGTAATACAGGCTGAGTGACATGTAGATTGTTCCCTACTGATAGGCCATGGAACCTCTTCCACCCTGGCTTACATTAAGAGAGACTCCCCTCACTCCCTTGCTATTAATATGCATAGAAAAGGCCTAGATGAAAATCTTTATGCGCGTGCTTTGGAGTGGCGCCCTATAGTTCGTGACCGGCAGCTTTCGGCTGCTAATTGCTTAGCAATCTGCATGTTTATAATCTTCTGCCGGGCTTCGCATTTTCTCGGGCTGTTAGTGCATTACTGACACCAAAATTTACATTTCAGCCCGGTACTATCAGTACTTCAGCGCATCCTAACTCTTATAAACACCCTTTGTGAGCTCCAGTATTCCTCTCAAGATCAACCCCTTGTTTCAGTGCCACTGCAGCTACCAACGTGTGTGGTGTGTACTACATTACTATGTTTAGTAATGCCACTTATCTATTCCGGTTGAAGCCGGGGTCCTGCACCACCATGCAAGTTTTCCGGCAACTATATTTCCGGTGCCGGAGCGAAGTCACCACATGGCTTCTTCACGCTCAGAGACGCTTAGAAACTGACGCTCGGGACCGGAGTTAATACACAAGGCATCTTCCGGACCTGCATCCAAGTAGGCGAAACGCCGTCTAGAACATGTCCCCCCTCTTTTACTTCACTCAGTAA